CGGAAACCCCGGTAGCAACCTGACCAAGGACCGAGTCCCGCGTAGCAAATAAGTACACTAAAAAAACTCTGGCGATGTGTTGTTTACCATCCCTGTCAATCGTATCTGAAACATTCACAATTAGAGCGGTGCCTTCAGAAGTTCACGCTCGGTGAACTCTAATGCTTAGCTAACAATGTTCATACCTAAAGCCATGAATGAGGTGAATGAGGTCCATAATGGCAGTTTCATTTAAATGACAGGTGCTTGTAGTTCGACCGGCAGGAAACGCATCTCGGAAAAAGGGAAGAACCGGGCCAACTGTAAAATGTCGCTATTTCCACATAGCCTCCAGAGTATTCTGCGACTCCGCAGCATTTTTATGGCAAAATGCTCCGTAAATTGGCACAGGGGCCCTAGCACGTTTATTGCAGGTAGCTGAGCTATACCGTTCAAGCGGAGTGTCCAGTGTAACAAAAGTTTGTTACAATAAAGACAACTCAAATGTGAGATTAGGCCAGCGTCCTTGGATGATTCAAGAACTTTATGAGTCCAAATAGCGTGGAATGCACCAAAGTGATGAATTCAACTGTCGATGGTTGTATGGATCACATAGGGTGTGGCTGAGTTTCTCGAAGTACTTGTATGTGTCCTCCCGAAACAAATTTAGCGCCACGCAACCTCCCATACGAACACCATTAATTATCCTGTCTACTCACAAAGTTGCCAGTAATATCGTTTTAAACACAAAATGGACCATCGCTATGACAGAGTGGCAGCACAAAGACAGCACAAATCAGAGCGTCTTTACACCGTTTGCCCAGAGAGTAATTACCAATACTGGCAAGCTCTTGGACAAAATCTGTCCAACTCTTACCTAACTTCCGAATTTTTGCCATATCTCGACTTCCTGAAATTTCTCATCAGACTGTCTTCGTTGTGCCAGCGCTTAGGCCTCAAAGTCCCTCGAAACATCAAGATTTTATTTTCTTCGTTTCCCGACGGATGCTCCCTAAATCATTTGCTGAAGCTTAATCTAAAGTTGCATTTGTTCCATATAAACTCCGTCTTCCATCTCAATCAGTGGCCGCCTACCTGCCAAAAAGATGAACTGAGGCCTTAGGCACCCGGAATAGGATGAAGGCCCTTGCTCGGCGTTATGTCTACTGGCCTTTGATGAACTCCTAGATCGAGCAAGTCTCGAAATCTTGCCTTGCC